AAAAAAAAAAAAAAAAAAAAAAGAACCACACCAGATAGAAATAGTATAATAAATTATCATAAGCGAAGATTTAAGTCGAGTTTACACAAATCGGATGAAGGGTTTGGCGAATTATGAACACGAAAACTTCCAGGCCAAATAATTGGCTCTTCAAGTGCCAAGGGTGGCCATGTTGTCCCAAATCCAAACCCTGTGTTGGCATGAGGAAATCTTGCAACCATGGTTGGGGATTCTGTGTTGGGTTTGTGGACAAGTGAATGAGGTTGAACACCCAATGATTTAACAGGAAGAGAATTGAAAGGAAAGCCTGTTGATGTCATCATCATTCTATGTGAATGGAATCTTTTAAAAGCTCCTCTTTCTCTCTTGTGTGCATTCTGATGACCACCTAAGGCTTGTGAACTGTAAAACTTCCTCAAGCAGAAGTTGCATGAAAAGATCTTGCCTCTGCTGCTTCCAGCTTTTGATTGAGGGTCATTATCTCCTCCAGCTGTAGTGAGAGGCTCAGGCTCATCCTTGTTTAGGCCTAAACTTAGCAATTCGCCTATATTTTGATGGTCGATTCTACTTTCTTCTTTGTCCTTTGTTTCTGATTCAGTTTGATTGTTGCATGATATCTTTTCAGCTTCTTCCTCCCTCTGGAAAGTCATAGTAACATTCACACAACCTCAGCTCAAATGGAAAATGGGAAAGAGGGTTCAAACAAGTGGTGGGGCTTCTCTTAAAAAGGTGAAAGAAATCAGTGAGGAATTTAATTGACAGAAAGAGAGGTGCTATGAAAGAAAGGAAATGCAACTAGACATTATTTAAATTAACCAGAATTCTCTGTGGTGTTCCCACGTAGAGAGTGATGCTGCAACATTTAAGAGGGAAATGCTTATGTGAAGTAATTATATAGCATCAGTCTTGTCAAGCTTAGGATTCCTTACTCTCCCTTTTTAACTTTTTTTTAGACATCTTTAATGGCATCAACTGCACGATTCGTTTTGCTGGATGGTCAATAACTGAGGCATTACTCGCTATATATTCACCAGAAAACACCAGCATAACTAACAATAATGCCATAGACTTGTTATCAATCTAGTGATGTGCCATGTTCTCAACATATTTGCACTTGCATGTACTGTGCTACTGTTAACAGATTTACTTACAAATCATAAAGTACTTAAATTCCAATTAAGGTAGAAAAACTGCATCAAGAGATCACCTAACTTTCATTATACTAACACAATATGGTCCCAAGAATCGCATGCCTTTATCCTATTTAGCCCATACCAGAGTGTTCAATCTTCCATGCAAGACTCTGCAAATTATGGACCACTCATTCCATATGCCTTTACAGTATTGGGCATGCAAAGGTTAGGTTCACTTATTTTATGCCACTGTGCTACATTTAGTACAGTTGATTCTGTTTGCTTTCCCCTCAAAGTCCATGGAAAAACATGCTTCTCTACATATTTTATCAGAACTTGACCTTCTTGGCAGTGGAGGCATAACAGTAACTGATTGTAAATTTCCCAGTTTTTGTAAAGCCTAAGAAGTTTTGTGTCCAGGGGTGTACACAGTTTGGCTTTTGGGTTGATTATTCTACATAAAAAATAATGATAAAAAAAAAGGATTCATATCCAATGCAAACTAAAAGTACTGGAGCAAGTAGAGCTGCTAGTTAAACTCTAAATTATATGAAATTATTTGAGGGGGCCCAGGTGAATGTCAATAATGGTGATAATAAAGGAGTTATATCGATGTGGTGTGTCTTCATGTAATGGGCAATTTATATGTACAGTAGAAGAAGTGCATTGTGAACCACTTGTGATTATTCTTAGAATCTTTTCTGTACAAATAATACTTCAATTTACAAAAGCTCAATTTCCCCACAGCCCACAGAAGGTGTGACGAAAGCAACTTTGATGCTGAAGCTTCTTCTTAGAGATAAAATAATCGTGGTATTGGAATGATGAGTCAGAGGAAGGAACACTAGACTTGTCTTAATCAGTTTAGTTTCATATACAAAAGTGAAGAATGAATAAAATAACTGAAAATTCAGTAAATATATAAAATTCAGTGAAATCTAGATATGCCTAGCTAAATAAATAAATAATTTGGAATTTCAGGATTGCGTGATATGATTAAAAAAACGAAGATTAGGTACCAAATAATTGAATAACAGATAGATATACTGCAAGTTGTGGGTCTGCGAACTACCCTGTTTTGGGTTCAAGAAACAGCCCCAGTTTGATTGTGCACTTTACTTCTCGGTGTTTCTATGGCCGACAATATGGAACCATCTTCTCTAGAAAATTAGTGGCAGCAATCAACTTAGACCGAGAAATTTCATACTTGCCTTAGCACATATTCAGCCACAAAAGTAGAAGAAAATATTCTCACATCCTGTGGACATATAAACAGACATGAACTTTTTACCATATATATATATATATTGAAGTGAAGGGTAATTCTCTGGTTTAAAAACAAAGGCACTATATGAAGCTCAAACTCAATATTCATAAAACAAAGTCACCGTCTTATCTGGGTATCAAGTTAAAGCATTTGTTCATAAAGTTCGTGTCGGGCAACAAGTCCGGATGCCATGCCACCACCGATTCCAGAAAGGAAAAGTTACGTGCCTTTACCCGCCAAAGAAAGTTAAAAGTTAATATAAGATAAACAACTTGGCCGATCACTATTCTCTACTTAAATGCCTCCTAAAGATAGTATTAGTACCAAGAATCAAAAAAAGACAAAAGTAGGATTGCATCCAGATTATTGTGACGTATTCAACATGTAATGTGGGAATCAGAAGCAAGATTGCAACTCAATTTTCTTGTCATCCTTGAGTATCTGGTTCCAGTATCAAATTGAACATATACAAATGCCTCCCCCATTGCCTTGATAAGTTTTAGGCTTTCATTAGAGTACAATTAACAGCAGATGGCATGAAGAATTTTATAAGTTATTTCCTCAATATTTTCACTTTTGTTGACAATTGAAAGTTTCATCCAATCAATAAAAGATTGCAATATTTGATAGATGAATCAAAACTGGATGGAGTTGTTAATGGGTAGAGTTAAAATTGGGCGGTTTGAATTAAGGTAAATTTATGGTTGAGTTTACGCTCTAATGCTCAAGTAATCCAAGTGTACGAAGATCTGGGAGTATAAATCAATTGTAAAATAGCTTGAATTGTCAACTTTTCAATACATTCTAAATTTGCAACTTGCTCAGCAAATTACCTGTGAGCAAGGATACACATAACCCCATCCACTGCAAGTCTTGAAGATCTAAATTTGACCGTGTACTTTCAAGGGGGATAGTATATTAATCAAAAACTGACCTCGTCCAAACCTAAGAGTGGCCAAAACCAAACTAAAAACACCCTGCGTCCCAACCCCTCGCCTCAGAATGGGTTCAACAATAACCACAGCATCAGTTAAGACCCACATTCTGTTACAACATGTGGAAGTGAGACAGATCATTCCACACAGGCTCGAATGGAGCGGGACAGACTGCCTGGCATGGTTCTAACATTGGCATGTGCTCAAGAATATAGCACTAATGAGCAATGCCCTGCCTCGTCTCTGTGTCAACCCATAATAATATGCTTTTTCCATGCTACAACAATTTGTCATGCTGACTTCTCTGCACCGCTAGTCAGAATTCCCATAAAATATAGTTGTCAAATTATGCAACTATGAGAACGGCAACATATAACCAACTTTGCGCCTACTTTGGTTCCTTCAACTACAAACCATAACCAGGGAGAATGATAAAAAATATCATGTTTTATCTAGGGAAAGGAAATCCAATATATTGGGTTTTATCCTAAAGACAAACATAGCAAATGACAAACATATTAATTTTCATTTTTCATTCACAAAAATCAATTATGTCTCAGAATTTACCAGCCCTCAGTTCATGGACAGCTTGGGATTGGACATAAACCAAACATCTTCTAGGAAAGATAAAAACATATACCGAGTTAAACATATTGATTTTTATAATTAATACATTCTTTAGAAACCAACGTCTCACAAAATACTAAGCATCATTTCCTTTCATTCATGCTAGAGTGGAATTTACATTCAATTGGCTCTGTATCAATCCATTCATTGTTAGTCACCACATTGAAAGACTTGGAAACTACCTTTATCAATTAACTATATTGTGTTCCATTAAATTCCACATGGAAGTGAAACATTCTTGAGATCAAAAATAAAAATGCCCAATTACAGCTAAATAATTTGATAACAAACTGAAAAATTACCACTAATTATTTGAAAAGATAAGATTCATATCTCAACCACCAACAGAAATCCAGCTCTGAATTTCTGGTTATCTGCAAAGTCCAACAAAATAGAGAACATATAGATATTGCAAAACCAAAAAAATAAAATAAAGTAAAATTTCAGCAACATCTCTTAAGTTATTTGAATTACTGCTCTGAAAATAGAACCTATCCAATCTACTAAAATCCTCAAATCACAAACCCTAAATAATTACTATTCAGTATATTTCTTAATGAAGGACAATAAAAAGAGAACTCACATGTCTTTTACTTCAAAACACAGTCCCACCTGCTGTACTTCAAAACCCATATAATGTAGCAACTGTAAGCTGATTCAACAGTTTATTAAGTTCCTACAGCACAACGCAAGACCCATAACAAGTTCAGTATTGAAAATAGATTTTATAGCCAAATACCAAAAGTAAAATGTCACCATAAATGTCAAATATCAGGATGCAAAACATAGTAAAAATCAAGATGAAATTCAACCCTAGAACCATTACAAACCATGCCCCCAACTTTTAATTTTGAAAACTCAATTTTGATCATTTGAAGAGTTTACATTTAATAAAGAAAACAACAACACATTAATGTTCCAGAAGATATTAATGTTACAGAAAAATTGCACAATTTAGGAAAGTTTTAAGATATTGTGTTCAACAAAACCTGAACAAAGATGATTTTTCTGTCATTTGTTTCCAAAACTTGGAAAATTATGATATTTTAGTTTGGTTACCAAACAGACCACAGCTGTATGCTTTCAGGAAGAAGGGAGCTGCCACCTATTGAAACACTTTCAAGTGTGTTGTGCGCCCACATTAGCTTCCCCAGAGGTGCATACTAATATTTCAGGTTAAAATTTTGTCAAATGGATGAAGACCATGTAGGGAGGATAAATCTAATCACCTAGTGATTCAACTACCAAAAGAAAACACCCTCTATTAGTTGCACTTCTATCTTTGTCTTGCTACTCCCACCAAGAAGGAATAAAGAAGATCATATACTAGCAGTAAAAAATGGATATGGGCTACTTAATATGTTTGGCAGATGCATCTTCATCCTTGCAAAAAAGATTACTTAAAGAAACACATTACGGGCTACTTAAAACATGTTTATCTTCCTTCACAACACAGCCTCATGCTTCACAAATTAATAAGGGGACAATAATGGTATGATATGCTCAACCAATGAAACAACTAAAAATATTCTCTATTATACCAAAGTAATATATCATAGCGCAGATTCAATTAGATAACTACTTTATAGGTATTAAGGTCCATGGTCAACGAAACAACTCCAGAATGAATCAACTAACAAAACAAAATTCAAGTACACAATACATTTTAATAGAGGTTTCTTAGAAAAGCAATAAGATAATTCACTTCGAGCCATTTATACATAAAAAATAAAATAAAAAAAATTATAGCAGTAACAAGTTTGTGCTAAATGGCTGTATAAGAAATGAATGTAACCAATGCATATCCTGAAACACAAACGCAAGACAACATGTACTAAGCACAAAAACCTAAAGACAAAAAATAAAAAAGTACCCTGGGACAACTCGCAACAAGCGCGGGCGTCGACGGTGATGTGAGAAGTGACGCGAGTGGCTCCGACTACGCTGTGAAGCGGCATTAGAGACTGGGAGCCCCCTAAGGTTCCAATTGTCCTTCCCAAACAAACAAACAATTACATTAAAATTCAAAGGCAACTACTATAGCATGTGTGCACATAAATCCTGCAGGTACCTGAGGAGGGAGCGGCTAGACTGGAGGCGGTCGGTGTGAAGTGGTGACGAACGGCGGAGGCGAGGGAGAGATGATGGTCTGATTGACGATGATCTAGCGGGGGAGATCAATGATCTTGTTAGAGAAGAAGTGCAACGCCAAGCCATTTCCTGTGTTTGTCGTTCAACACTCAGATGACCAAAATCTGGCAAAGAGCAAGAGCGAGGGTTTAGGCAAACGAATTTAAACCCTATTCAAACGGCCCCGTTAATTCTCTCCGAGAGGTCAACAACGCCCGACTTTGGGTAGGCCCAGCTGCTTTTTAACCTGGATTTAATAACTAAAGAACATTTACCCTCCTAAGGTTTGGGGAATGTACCATTTTCTACCGGTGGTTTCATAAATTACAAATTCCCACCCGATTTTAAACACTATTAAGGTAAATTTTGCCTTAACCAAGTTTTTTTTTAGGTAAACTCGGTAATTGCCTCTTCCGTGACTCGAACACAAAACTGTTGGGTGTGACTAACCCAAGTGGCTAAAGGGTTAGTCATCCAGCCATAAGGGGAAGTTGCCTTGACCAGGTTTGACTAGTCAAATACCATTTTTACCCCTTATTATAATAATGAGTAAATTAATAAATAACTCTATAACCCTCAAATTAATAGAATTAGAAAAATAATCATCTTCCTTTCAAATGTATTTCAATAATATTCTCTTTTTCAATATTTCTCTTCTCTATGACACCCAATTCCAGCCGTCGGGATCGGGATCTTTTCCACCTCTTCTCTCTCTCTCTTCACAGCGGCCAGATCTCGACAACTAGATCTAGTTGTAGCCACCTCTTTCTCTCTCTCTTTTTCCTTATCTCTTCTCTGCCTCTTTCTCTATTCTCTACCTTTTTCTCTCTTATCTTTTCTCTCTCTCTTTCTCCTTTCCTCTTCTCTGTGATGGCCAGATTTGGCCGCCGGTGGTGTTCGTGTTATTGACGGTGATAGAGTTGGAGGCAGAAAGGAAGGATTGGATTATGAGAACTTTTTTAGATGTGGAGGGTTATTTTGAAATTTTATCAATTTTGGGGAGTGTGAGAGTTAGAGTTTACTATTTTTTGGATAAAAGATTAAATACCCTTTTAATGGTTAAATTTAACATTTGAAATTTAAAACTGGGTGGAAATTTACAATTTATGAAACTACGGGTGGAACGTAGGATCACCAAACCTTGGGCGGGTATATCTCTTTTACTTAATAGCTACTTTCCAACTTTGAATAGGCCCGGGCCCTATCGACTTGAATTAAGAGAATTCGCTCATTAACATGTATTCGGCAAGGGACAAACCATTTTAACTTAATTTAAGATTTGATTGTATTAATTTAAATTTATGACACTTTTTTATAATTATCTTACCCATGGTTAAAACTTACGTTGTGCTTAAAAAGTCACATCGATGTCAGCTCTACCTAAAAGACAAAGTTTATTAGCTATCAAGCCCAACCCGTCTTAAAGATATTGTATAATTGTTGTCTCACCTTTATCAAAATAAAGGATCAGGATGAATGAGAGCTCTCCATGTGTCAAAGTAACTTGCAAAAACACTCATTACATTGATCTCAAAGGTGTATAAATGGACATCTCTCTTCATGAAAAAGGGGCTGGGTATATGAGAGCTAGGCAAACATTTAAGCTTTATTATTTTTTCTCTGTAAACAAAGTATTTCTCCATCTTTGTATGCCTTACGGGCAATATCATAGAGATAGTCAGAGAATAATATAAAAGAACAGTGGACGTAAGATTCACTTTAAGCATCCGAACCACTTTAAAAATCATCTCCCATTTATTTACTCCATTTTCTATTCCATGTAATTTCTAAGTCAGCTTAGCATTTTGCACGTGCGAATAGTTGGTGCCAAAATCAAGCATCAACAACTTATAAACTGGGATAATAACCTTTAAATTTATATTATATTAATGTATTACAAGTAATTTTATATATACGAATTTAATATACCCTCTTTTATGTATTCTTCTTAATGTACAATAATCTTCTAAACTATATATACTTAGTAGGCTAGAACTTCGACCGTTAATGATTCCATTAATGTGTCTAATCTCACTAGTCACCACCAATAATACTTGTTATGCCTAAAAAATCAGGGTTGACGTAGGCTTATGTCAGCGAGGACCAATAAGAGTTCAGAAAGACATTGTGCCGTCCAGGCGCTACCACGTTGTCGAAGGACAGAAGGTAAAAGGCTGACATTAACTTGGCAGGTAGAGGCCCGGCTAGTGAGTGGCTGGGAGTCGCCCACCTGCCCAAGCCTTGCGTGATTTAAGGATGTCTTCTGTGCAACCAGGCAATGAGAAGTAGGGTAGGAACTGTACCGCACCTGCCTGTTGGCAGACCTGTAATCATTGCCTAGCAACCTCTTACTATAAATAGAGAGCTCCCTTCTCATTTTTCGGGATTCTGATTCTAATAATATAAACACTCTCTCACCCTCTATGTATTTCTATTTCTCTGATCGCTACTTGTGACCTAATTGTAATCTTTCATTTATAAAAAAGACAGTGATGTAGGATTCGCTTTAGGCATCCAAACCACTTTAAAAATCATCTTTCATTTTATTTCCCTTCATTTCCATTTCACGTGTAATTCCTAAGTCACCTTAACGCTTTGCACGTGCGAATAGTTGGTGTCAAAATCCAACATCAATAGTTTGGCACTAGAAGAAGGACTTTGATTTAGTATCCGCTTTTTATCAGGAATCTTTGATCAATTGATTCTGTTTGCTAGCAAATGGCCTGTGGTTTCGAAACCGAGCGAGCTCGCCTTAGCAACAAGGAGGTCCCCCAAGTACAGGATGACACTTCTCCCGAAGTGCCTGATTCAGCATAGTACCACGACGGACATTCCTTCGAGCTCACAGCTCAACCCAACTGTGATGGATTACCTAGAGAGGCTCAATAATATTCTCCAAACGGTTAATCGAAGGTTAAACCATTTGGATCAGGTTGTACCACCCGAGTTCGACAAAGTGGTGCCATCGCCAAAAACGCCTGTAGGTTGTGCTAAAGCGTGGAAACGGGCAAAGGCCCACGTCATGCGCGCGCATTACAGCGTGTAAAGGCAAGGGAAAGTAAGTGGCAGTTAATGGGCTGAAGGGCTCTAAGGGACCGGCAAATACCGACCATGAAGTAGGTATAATACGTGTGGCTTTGCAACTTGACGATATGTCGCATCATGAACCGTTCCACACCACATCGCATTGGCAACCCCACAAGAATGCAAGGCAGGGAAACCCCCAGCAACCGCGGGTCGGTTTTGACCACCATCGGGCTAACTCCCCGAACCTTTCATTGCCTTCACATGACTCCAATCAGCGTGTGTTAAGATATGTCAAAGCTTTCGACCGGGGCAAGGAAGAGTTCGATCTATGGTCTTTCCTCAATCGTAATCGTGAGGGTCGAACCAACATTGCGGAAAGTGATCTTAAGGTAGCTCCATTACTTCAAATTGAGGAGTTACAACGAGCTCTGAATTAGCTTAGAGCTTAGCAAAATGAGCATGGGCAGGTCGCTGAGGCGTCTACGTTTTCTCCAATAGTGTTAGCTGCTTCTCTCCCGTCAAGGTTAAGAATACCTGATATGCAAGCGTTTGATGGGAATTTTGATCTGCAAGATCACCTCTATGAGTTTAACGACCTCATGGAGCTTCATCAAGTTTTTAACTTGGCCAAATGTCACTGTTTGGCAGTGACCCTCACAGCCCACACCAAGCGCTGGTTTAGATTGCTTTCGCCAGGATCTATTAACTTGTGACAACAGATGAGCTCGTTATTCTTGAGACACTTCCAGACGAATAAGAAGTTCTTAATGCCGTTGAGCTATCTAAGCAACATACGGTAGGAGAAGAATGAATCCCTTTGGTCCTACATTGACAGGTTCCACATAGAGCTGCACAAGATGGCTAACACACCTGTAGAATATGTTTGGACTCTCATTATTGCTGGAGTTCGCCTGTAGACCGATCTGTGAAAAAAACTGCAATCCGAGGACGACATTTTCCTCACCTGCTTCTACGACCTTACGGAGAAATACCTCTGAATAGAGAATTTTGAGGCCGCTCTCAATCGCCACGACCCCGATCCTTCGACCAGTGCTCCTGACCGGGGGGAAGGTAATAGAAGAGTTGATCACAGATGGGCCAATGACGATCAGCGGAAGGGAAAGAAGCAACAATTTGAGCCTAAGAAATCCAATGCCCAGGTTCCTCACCGCGATCGTGACAAGAATCAGTAAACTCCTCTGAATGCTTCAGTATCGACCATTCTGGATAAGTTAGAAGAGGTCAGCCTACTCGGAGAGCCGACGCCCATGAACAATCCCCATTTAGCAAAAAACAACAAGAAATATTACCGTTATCATCGTGATAATGGGCATCACACTGATGAGTGTCGGGCTCTCAAGCAAGCAATTGAAGACCTCATCAAGTAAGGGCACTTTAAGGAGTATGTTGATGGTCTGACTCCCGTTCGGGAGAATGATCAAGAGGAGTAGGGGAAGAAACGCCATGGTCGTATAGGTCTCTACTTCGTGGGGATCATCTTTGGAGGACCGCACCTCGCGGAGAATTCTCGAGGTACCTAGGATAGGTACGCTTGAAAAGCTCGCCATGACCCCATAAGTTTGATGAGCATAGCGTCGCGACCCACTAAGGTTCGCAGAGAAGAAGAGATCATCTTCTCAGAGAAAGATGTGGTGCGATTGCATCATCCCTATGAGGATGCACTCGTCATCGTGCCTGAAATAGGTTGGTGTAAAGTCTACAGGATGTTGGTGGACAATGGCAACGTTGTGAACATCCTATTTCAACAAGCTTTTGAGGAGATGCAATTGGAAGAGGCAGATCTGAAGCCTGCCTCTATCCCTTTCTATGGTTTTACTAGGGACCATCTGATTCCCAAGGGAATGATCGCACTTCCCGTTACTTTGGGTGAGACCAACGAAGTGACCAAGATGACAGAATTCTTAGTGGTAGATTGTCCGTCTGCTTTTAATGGCATTTGGGACGACCTCTACTACGAAGTTTCAAGGCCTTCACCTC